TATATATATATATATAGATCGACGCTCAACAGCTAATCTGGCACGTGAGGCAAGTGGCAGGATCTCCTCCAACTCTTTGCTCCCGCTGGGCTGCTCCTGGTCAGGTCAAGGAGCAAACCATCGGCTTAAAGCTGGTGCCCATCCAATGCTTTGGAACTACACGAACTCCGAACTACATTCGAGGAACCAAGCAGTAAGCAAAACAGGCCCAATTCTCGCATAAAATAGCAAAAGATGGCCTCCACAACCAATGATTGGTCTTGTGCAGCTTGTGCTTCCAACTCGGCCACGCGAGTGTGAGCAGCTGACAGCTGCGCCTGCAACTGCCTCAGCTTCCACATGCTCCAGCATCTTCCACCGTTCGACTTATAGAAGAACGCTTTGCCCAAATCATTCCCACGCTGATCCACTTGGGGTTTATTTGGATCTGGAGGAGGCCCTTCACAGGGAATTCAAGTGCATTGCATGAGCACTTAGTACTAAAGGGTGCCCACCAAGTGGCACAATCTCCTCGGACTCTTTGCTCTCTGAGGCCTTATGCTCCTGAAAAGGTTGGGCAACAAACTGGCCTTTGACATCCTTCAATGTCAGCAAATCCTTCAAGCACCCTAGCTGCTAGCTTCGGCAAGCATGTCACAGCAGAGAACTCATCATCACCTGTTGTTAAGCACAACAGGACAGGTGCACCTTCATCTGCAGCTCTAAATGCTCCACTTCAGTCTCCAATTGATCAATGCGACCTGAAACGGCTTCTAGATTTGCCAAGTGCGGCCAATGCGCAGTCAAATGCACCTGCTTCCTAAAAAGACCACAACGCGATGCGGCATTTCTAGTAAACAAATGCCAATCATGCGAAAGAAACTTGAAGCAATGTCATGTGGTGTTGATCCTGGATCCTGATTTGTCAAAAGGAATGGAGTACAAACTAAATCCATCTACAAATATCTACAGTCCATAAATCCCGGCAACAGACCCCAAACAGTGTGGGGGCGGCAGCTGTGGAGTTAGAGTTGGTGGCGGTGGTGGTGGTGGTGCTTTTGGAAAGTCCCGAGGCCCTGGGAGGGTCTCTCGATGCCGCGTGTAATTTAAGAATTGCTTAGAATGAGTTGAAAGTATCACTTACATTCACTTATACAATCAAATCGAAGCAACATATTGTTCACAAATATCCCAAATCTTGTAATCCAACAGCATCCTCAAGTTGATTTAATTCACCACTGGTTTCATTTTGGTTCCTATTGCTCCCTCCCCAAAAGCAACTCAAGCAAAGGAATAAAGGAATTCCTTTTTCATTCCTGTTTTGCATTTCTATACGGCAACCAAATCACGCAATTTCTTAGGCTAGACTCCCAGGACCTGCCTTGCGGACCCTTTCAACTTGGGCCAGCGTTTGCCCAGCAAACTGTTTTTCTGATAGATTTTGTAGGATTTTGGAGGCCTCGTCGAGATTCTAGCTGCTGCTCCAGGTCCTTCTTCTCCTCCTTTCGCAAAACATGTCATGGCAAAGAATTCATCAGAGCCTGTTCTTAAGCACAACAGGACAACATGCACCTTCGTCTGCAGCTTTAACTGCTCCACTTCAGTCTCCAATTGATCAATGTGACCTGAAACTGTTTCCCACGACTCAAAGACAAGTGTTCGACAAGTGCGGCCAATGGTGCAGCTTCTGTAAGTAAAACGCGACACGGACATTTCTGGTCAACACTTGCCAGGTAAAGAAATCTGCTTTCCTACGCTTGAGGGCCTCGTCGAGCTTCCAGCTGCTGCTCCAAGTCCTTTTTCTCCTCTTCCCAGCTTCCATCTGGTGCTGCAAGGTGCTCCTTTGCAGCACAACACGCTTGACAAGCATGTGGTAACAAAACACGTCACCATTACATGCTCACATTCGGTAATCTTGTCTCCAAAACTCAATTGAATTCAGGTGGCAACTCATTATTGGTAGATGCCAGAGGTGGCATTGCACATTGCAAGCCTTCTGGGCTGACATGAGTTCCAACATGCTTCTGCTGGTTTTAGACGATCAATGACAATGAACAAAGCATTTTTAGCTATCCCAAATTCACTAGCCTATATACAAACAAGGGGGAACCAGAAAGAGGAACAACAATGAATAATTGCCATCCCAGATCATCGCATCATCACATATCTTCGAGTTTCTTCGAGTATATATCTAATATAGAAAGCTGTCCTCTGGGGCCAAAGGTTCATCTTCAGCTTCCAACTCAGCCACGCGAGCGACAGCAGCTGACAGTTGAGCCTGCAACTGCCTCAGCTTCCACATGCTTCCACAATCTTCATCCATCTTCAACCAAATATAGTAATTCTACCTATGAAGGAACCCTTCACCCAAAACCTCAAGATCATCTAATACTGCACGGCTCAAACCGGCAAAACAGACTGGTGATGACTGGTGCAAGTTTCAAGCGCATTCACTAGAACGATTCCCAATGAAATCTGAGAAAATGGGGGTGTCTGGAATTTGGCATTCATTTGGGCTCACATCTAGACACCCTTGAAATGGAGTTCAAGCATGTTGTGCGAGCATTATCGGTGCCAAGTGTCACAATCTCCGACTCTTTGCTCTCTGTGGGCGCACGCTCCTGAAAGGTTAGGCAACAAACTGGACCATGGCATGCTTCATTGTCATGATTTCTCCGAAAAACAATTGGATTCCGTTGGGAAAAAGGCGAAACATGTCTCCGCTGGTTTTGGCAAAATAATGATCAATAGAGCATCTTTGTTCCGGAATTTTTCAATACTTGAGCCAGGCCAAAGGCCTACAAACTAACTAAATGTTGCAGAAAGCACGATCATGATCTCGGCAACCACATTTCTCTACAACTGGACTCTACTGGGCTGCAAATTTTTGGGACCAGTTGGTTGGGCAGCCTGCGCTTCCAGTTCCGCCACACGAGCACGACTAGCTGCCAGCTGTGCTTGCAATTGCCTCAGGTTGCTAAATAGACTCGTCAAAGCGTTGCAAGCAAACGACAACAACACCAACAGCAACAGCAACAGCAGCAGCAGCAGCAGCAACAGCAACAACAGCAACAGCAACAACAACAGCAGAAAAAATGCAGAATACAACGCTCAATCCCCAGTCTCGGCCAGTCGCGTAATCTCTTCCATGTCTTTGCTTCCGTTGGGTTGCTCCTCGCCAAATCAAAGAACAAAACAACTTAATTACAGCTGGTTTTTCCTGCGTCTTTTCCGATTTTTCCATTTTCCTCAAGATACAAGCAGTATAAGCAGTTTTCTTGACAAACCAAAAAAAAACAAAGACCCCGCCCACCCCCACACACCTCCACACCACCCCCACTAACAGGAAGCCAAAGGCACAGTCTGCGATGCGTTGTGTTGCACATGTGCCCGCTTCTGCTCAGGTTTGCAAACTATTTTAATATACGTAGGTGCTTGAGGGTGTGCTGACGACACGTGTTAGCCCGGAATTGTCTCGAATCTGACTGTGATTAAATGAGTCTGATCTCGTTTTAACAGTGTTGCGATGTTGGGCTTGTGACCCGCACACACGGTGCTGGTGCCCTGTTTGACTAAAATCTTCACACAGCTACACAATGTAGCTCCACCATGGCCTGCACCAGCCTTGTGAACTGACATGCCATGCCATACATAAGCACATTATTTTAAATATATATATATACAGCATATCAGCGTCTGCCGAAACGTACTGTCAAGCAAAGGACATGATTCAGCAAGGTTATCGCTTTGAGGGGGCCTATTGCTTTTGCAGGTTTTAGCCACCATGTTATATAATATATATAGCTGAACACATCCAAAAAACTGTGGAAATATGGTTATATATCGCTCTTGAGGGGGGCCTATCGCTTTTGCAGGTTTTAGCCCAATTCCTGAAATTCACGACCGCTCTTTACTAAATTAGTAATTGCACGTTTTGATGGTTGCTCATGTATATATATATATATACATATGCATCGTCATATATGCTGAAAAGTTTACCCTTACACGACATTACACGAGCCCGCTCTCTCTCTCTCTCTCTCTCTCTTCTCTCTCTTTCTCTACAGGTGCCTCCCACGTGCGAAATTTCCAAACACCGCACCCATTGCATCTCCAGCATGTAGCAAAATCTTTAGCTGGGGCATGGACAGTCTTCCGCCGCATTCCATGCGCGTGACTGACCACAGAGTGACATTGGATAGCACTAGGTGTGTAGCTTACAGGCTTAGAGTACAGTAATTTAAACCTAAAAGCACCAGCATTCATTACACACTGGCTTGAAGCCAACGCCGCTAAAGTCCGCTAAACTAGTCATCCCTAAAGATCATCCATTGAGGAGTGTAGGTCTGGTTACGGGGTTCTCTTGAGGCACATCCGCGGTCAAAACTACATGTTATCATCGGACGCGAACTGACAGGAGCCAGAAAGAGGAACAACAATGAATCGCCATCCCAGATCATCGCATCTTCACATATCTTCGAGATTCTTCGAGTATATATTTAATATAGAAAGCTGTCCTCTGGGGCCAAAGGTTCATCTTCAGCTTCCAACTCTGCCACGCGAGCGACAGCGGCTGACAGCTGAGCCTGCAACTGCCTCAGCTTCCACATGCTTCCACAATCTTCATCCATCTTCAACCAAATATAGTAATTCTACCTGTGAAGGAACCCTTCACCCAAAACCTCAAGATCATCTAATACTGCACGGCTCAAACCGGCAAAACAGACTGGTGCAAGTTTCAAGCGCATTCACTAGAACGATTCCCAATGAAATCTGAGAAAATGGGGGTGTCTGGAATTTGGCATGAACTGCCCACCATGAGCTAATATATCATTTGGGCTCATTTGAATCTAGAGACATCTAGACACCCTTGAAATGGAGTTCAAGCATGTTGTGCGAGCATTATCGGTGCCAAGTGTCACAATCTCCGACTCTTTGCTCCCTGCGGGCGCACGCTCCTGAAAGGTTAGGCAACAAACTGGCCCATGACATGTTTCATTGTCATGATTTCTCAGAAAAACAATTGGATTCCGTTGGGAAAAAGCGAAACATGTCTCCGCTGGTTTTGGCAAAATCATGATCAATAGAGCATCTTTGTTCCGGAATTTTTCAATACTTGAGCCAGGCCAAAGGCCCACAAACTAACTAAATGTTGCAGAAAACACGATCATGATGAGCCAGTTGGTTGGGCAGCCTGCGCTTCCAGTTCCGCCACACGAGCACGACTAGCTGCCAGCTGTGCTTGCAATTGCCTCAGGTTGCTAAAAAGACTCGTCAAAGTGTTGCAAGCAAACAACAACAACAACAACAGCAGAAAAAATGCAGAATACAACGCTCAACCCCCAGTCTCGGCCAGTCGCGTAATCTCTTCCATGTCTTTGCTTCCGTTGGGCTGCTCCTCGCCAAATCAAAGAACAAAACAACTTAATTACAGTTTTATTTTCCTGCGTCTTTTCCGATTTCTCCATTTTTCTCAAGATACAAGCAGTATAAACAGTTTCTTGACAGACCAAATTGACATTTCAAAAAAACAAAGACCCCGCCCACCCCCACACACCTCCACACCACCCCCACTGTCGGGAAGCCAAAGGCACTGTCTGCGATGCGTTGTGTTGCACATGTGCCCGCTTCTGCTCAAGTTTGCAAACTATTTTACTATACGTAGGTGCTTGAGGGTGTGCTGACGACACGTGGTAGCCCGGAATTGTCTTGAACCTGACTGTCATTAAATGTCAGTCTGATTTCGTTTTTAACAGTGTTGCGATGTTGGGCTTGTGACCCGCACACACGGTGCTGGTGCCCTGTTTGACTAAAATCTTCACACAGCTACACAATGTAGCTCCACTTTGGCCTGTACCAGCCTTGTGAACTGGCACGCCGCGCCACACACGCCCACACACTCTGACACTTGTATTCAGTGAACTCAGTTCCCACGTTGAGAAGGAAGGTGAAGGAACGGCAAGGTGCATGAGTCCGCAAAAACCGTATTGTTGAACAATGTTGGCAGCTGCACTCAAAAACGATCTGACACGCAAAGTTGGCTGCAAAGCGGCGCAAGGTGGCGGTGGGTTTGTGGGAGGTATCATGAAGAACCATGAAACAAACCGTGGAGAAGTGGGGTGACAGCGTGTGAGGAACTTCGCAGGTACGTTCGGATGATCAGTCCGAATATCCCACTCTGTGACCTAGCTTCGTTGAACTGGGTCAGTCACAGAGTGCCCAGTTCCCCTGCATGTGACTCACGGGTGGAAAAGGTGATCGGTGGATCAGTTGGACGCCCCTGCATGTGAATCACAGGTGGAAAAGGTGATCCGTGGATCAGTTGGACGAAACCCTTTGTCCAGGGGTGGACACACACAAATCGCCGGCTTCGGCGCTTTTTTCAAAGAACGGTGGCACACATACGGCGCCGCTTCGCGGCGCGCATGTGAAAACCTGAATAGTCACCTAAAAAGCCTTAGAAACAAAAGGAAAGAAAGACAGAAAGAGCAGCGCTAAGAGGGGAAGAAAGAAAGATAGGTGTAGAAAAATGAAAAGGTGAATACTTAGCCCTTGACTGGGGTAGGGGAACGAACCTCAAGAACAACCTAAAAAGCCTGAAAGAAAGCCCAACAAACGACGAAAAACGCAAGAAGGAAAGTGGGGGGCAGGGAGGGGGTGTATGTCCATGTGTGTGTACGTGTGTGTGTGTGTGTTTGAATACCTAGCACTCAGATTTACTGAATACTTAGACGAGGTGAATTAGGTGCACTTGTTAGGGAGCGGGACTTTAGTCTTAGACCGCCCGGGTAGGATAGACTAGAACAGGAACAACACAGGGAAAGGCACCGACACACAAGTGTGTCGAGTACCATTTCCCTATGTTGCCCTAAATAGGTAGGGAGTAGAACACAGCGGGGGGGGGGGTTGGGGAACCTGCCTCATTGGGGGTAAGCACCGTTTTATAGCCCGGCGGCTGTCGAAGTGATGCCTTTTTTGGGCCCGGCGGCCAATGCATCAGTTGATTCTATGGGGGTGGCCGTGACTTCCGGTGAAGGTCCAGTGAAAAGTGGTACGTTGGGGTGGTTGAATTCCGATGCAAAAAACAGCGCCCCTGTGACGGGGATCACACTCAGCACCCGAGTGGGACGGCTGAGCGAAACACACTCTGACACTTGTATTCAGTGAACTCAGTTCCCACGTTGAGAAGGAAGGTGAAGGAACGGCATGGTGCATGAGTCCGCAAAAACCGTATTGTTGAACAATGTTGGCAGCTGCACTCAAAAACGATCTGACACGCAAAGTTGGCTGCAAAGCGGCGCAAGGTGGCGGTGGGTTTGTGGGAGGTATCATGAAGAACCATGAAACAAACCGTGGAGAAGTGGGGTGACAGCGTGTGAGGAACTTCGCAGGTACGTTCGGATGATCAGTCCGAATATCCCACTCTGTGACCTAGCTTCGTTGAACTGGGTCAGTCACAGAGTGCCCAGTTCCCCTGCATGTGACTGCCGGGTGGAAAAGGTGATCGGTGGATCAGTTGGACGCCCCTGCATGTGAATCACAGGTGGAAAAGGTGAACGGTGGATCAGTTGGACGAAACCCTTTGTCCAGGGGTGGACACACACACATGTATGTATGTATGTATGTATGTATGTATGTATGTATGTATGTATG